TAAGTATCATTGCTAGAATCCGTCCCTTGAAAGAAAATAAAGTACGCGTACGAAAAATTTTACGTAAAAATTTTAATTACTATTATCGTTTTACTTCAGTTTAATTTAGATTTCAAATGTGTAAATATGTCAAATTTTTAAATATGGTTTTGATTTTTTTTTCCTTTTTCGATAAATCCGTTCCGTTTTCGATAAACCATTTTCGCAAGAAACTTGCGAACCGATGCTTCGTTGAAATACCGAAGCAAGATACTTCGCTATGCTAAGCGGAGNGACTCTCGCAAAAGTTGCGAGACTGTATTCGCAGAGAATCTGCGGAGCAATTTGCTTTGCGTAAAAAGTACGCAAATGTCATTATTATAATTAAAATCGCAATTTCGTTCCGCATTAACAAAACAATCAATATCAAAACTTTGATTTTCGCAATTTCGTTCCGTAGTAACAAAAAATCAATATCAAAACTTCGATTTTCAATACTGAGTCTTATGCAAAATCGGCGCGACGTATTATTTCAGTCTATTTTAAAACTTATAAAACTTTCGTGCATTTTAATCACTTATTTTGATCACATATTTCTTTTTCATTACAAAAATTTTTTGTTATATACTATCTCTCCTATATCCTTCCTATACCAAAAAAGAAAAAAAAGAAAAAAAAGAAAAAAAGAGAATATTTCAAAGTAAGATTCCCTCAATTTATTCTTCTTTCCATGTGATTTACCCTACACATATACCCTTTTTAAACAATTTTTTATATTTAAAGATAAAGCATAGAGTCGCGATAAAAGTTTATTCTGTTCATTTATACTTTTCACTTAAATTTTATCATCATATATTCTATCTATCTTTCATTCATATTCATTTTCATTTATACTTTACACTTCATTTTTATTATCATATATTCTATGTTTTACAATTATCGTATATTCTATCTTTTAAAACGTATTATCGTATATTTTTTATCTTTTCAAATTTATTATCATATATTCTACCTTTTAAAACAACGATATTTTTCGCGTTCTTTCGAGATTTTGTTTTAAGGTTTATCTATCAACTTTTTTAAGACTAAAATTAGAGTCATTCGCGATTTCGCGGTTTTCGCGAAACATTACAGCAACGAGGCCACCGGTAAGTTTAAACGTGGTCTCGCGTCGTGGGACTACGATCATCTCGTCGTGGGCGCGCACCCTTCGCATCGTGGGACAGTAAAGGTAGGTTCCTGATTGCTACGTGGGACTGGAGTTGAAGATACATCGATGGACGGCGAAGGACTACGCGCAACGGTACGTTGTATTTTTTTAATAATTTATTCTTCTCACATAAGAAGCAATTCACTTTTAGAAAGATTGCTTTTTTATATATATTATCTGTAAATTTTTATTATAATTTACTCAAGCAAATTACAGTTCTTACATGGCTTAGAAATTTTTAATATAGTAAGTTAAAATATACTAAAACAGTTTTTTTTTATAATAGTCTCGAAAAAAAATCTTTTATTTATGGACATGTTCTATATCTGTGTGATGATGTTTAATTAATTACAATCATATATGAGATCTACTCAATCTCATGCAAATTTGTTATGCCTAGATATAGAATTTGAGCATGTATAAAGAATTGTTTCTCGGAAAAAAATAATGATTTAGAATTAAATTATTTATTATCTTTCATATCTCTACAATAAAAATTTTTGAGAAGAATAAATTATTCTGCATGAGTAGTAATCGCACTGATTTTCATTATATCGTCATTCCCTACGTAGATTCTCTACGTAACTCTAAAACGCAAGTTTTAGAGAAAAGCAGTTTAAAAGTTTAAACCTTCATATAATTTCCCTAGTTAAGAGATCTTTTGGTTTTAAAATTTTACCTTATTTATAAATTGTTTTCATATTTAGTGTCTATAAAGAACATGACTTTCTAAGTATCACTATGCAATAAACTAAAAATTCGGTATGTGACACTTATGTAATTATACGTAGGGATTGACGATATATTTTTTTTGATGAAATTTTTATATATTTGTATATTGTGTGATTTGAAACAATATTTCTTCTATATATGTGGTCATTTTTAAATTTTTTATATTTTTTTTAAATTTTATATTTATATGTATATATATTCATCTATATTTTCTACATCTACGTTCATATTTCTATATCAATTTCTCTTAAAGAACCGATATAGAATGTTTTTTGAAGATTATGTTCGTTTATGCTTCTATATCAATTTCTCTTAAAGTACTGATATAGAATCTTTTTTTAAATACTTATATTCTTTTTTTTGCATCCATTTTTATATTTCTATATCAATTTCTCTTAAAGAACCGATATAGAATCTTTTTTTGGAGACTTATGTGTGTGTTCTTTATATCTATTCTCTACATTTTTATTCTTTTCTATTTTATCTTTACAAAAATATATATTTGAAATATATATATTCAAATATATATTTTTTCTATCTACTATAGAATATAGTAATATTTCTATCTCTTCTAAGTATACATGATGGGCTGTGAAGGATAGATATATTCTTTTTTTAATCGTAAAATCTTAAAAAAACTTCGGACGTGAAACTAAAATATATTTTAAATAATATTTTTTAATTTTAAAACAACTGCCCCTCGCGTAAAATATTTAATAGAATTTAAATCTTTCCAAAGTAAGTAGGTAAATAGGTATCTGTGTAGGTAGGGATGCGTATCTACAAGCGCTTGTAGAAAATAAATTAGGTCGGGTAGGTAGGAAATACGTTAAGCAGGAAATATGTTAGACCGGATAAGTAGGAAGAAATCGAAATGTCAAATTAGGATCAAAGCTGTAATGCAGCTTTAATGCTAATTAGTAATGTTTAAGATATATCAGATGTGTAAGATAGATAGGTAGGTACGTAGGAGTATTTATAATTATATATATAGTATATTGTATAATATTGTATAATATTGTCTTATATTGTGTATGTTTAATAAATGTATAACATTTTATTCTTTTGGAATGGATAAAACAATTGTAAAATGAAACGTGGAATTAGAAAAGACTGATAAAGAGTTTTAATAAAAAAGCAAAAGCTATAATTCTTGGAATTGCAACTTTTCAGACATTATATTTGTGTACCGTTAAAACACCTTTGTATAAATACATGTTTTTTTTGTGTATTTTGTATCTATGTACATATGTAGTGTTTTTGTGAGAATAAAATAAANNTTATTAAGCAAAGAGCAGCAAATGATGATGTAAAAGGAGATGATACACTCCATGAATTCTGATGCTGCTTGCTAAAATAATATTCTTTTCTTGAGTATTACATTTTTTCTTGTACATCACATCTACGTTGTATGGAAAGTTGCAATGGTTTTTTTTTTTTATCCTTTTCTGTTCTCCTTTCTCATCTTCTCATCACGAGACCGGTCATTTTAAATTTCAAAAGTAATTAAATCTACGCTTGCGAATATAATTACACGCCTGAAGAAGGTGACCATTTGGATTCGTGCACATAGCACAGAATAGAACCTTACGGAAATAGCGTGGAATAGAACCATGTTCACATTTAGACATAGCTCACGTACCGACAGGTCGCTCGTGGAGATAGTTACCAGTAGTTACGTAGTTGCCAAGGTTTGGTTTGGTGCATTTATGGCTCAAAGGACCGTTTCAAGATAGTCCATACGCCATTACGTAGTTGCCAATGTGCTCTAGTCATGGACATTGCGCTTGCTTAAGGCCATCACACATAAAATTACTTAAGACCGTAAGACTTAGCCGTAAGCAAATTGACCAATCAGAATGTATACTATGTCTTAATCACTTTTGGACGTAAATTTCTTATTTGTCAATTTTTTTAAGTTTACGTCTTACGGTCTTAACTAATTTTATGTGTGATGGCCTTTACAGAGCTACAGTATATAGCTGCGTTCCGTTTTACGCATATGCGCGCATTTGTTTATTCTACTGAACTATAATATGGAACGCGTTTTCCATTGTTCGAGCTGTCCGCGATAAAGAGCATCACAACTATGATTTCTGTTTTTGTCTTGTCGTCGCTGATTGGTTGAAATTTATACGAGTACAGTCCAAGACAAAAGAACAACGAAAAGTAAAAAATAACTGCGTTCAGCAGAAATCAGCGCTCAGCAATTGCTAATCGCAGTCATTCTTTACTTTTCGTTGTTCTTTTGTTTTAGACTGTACTCGTATAAATTTAACCATTCAGCGACGACGAGACAAAGACAGAGATCCTAGTTGTGATGCTTTCTATCGCGGACAGCTCGAACAATGGGTGCGTTCAGACAACTCAACGGTTGAGAGATCATCACTTATGATAGGACCAGAGAGAAACCTGAGAGCGGCCATCCTAATGTAATTTTTTACGACGGTTTCAGCCGCTGGTTTTAGCCGTATTTCCACAAAAGTGGAACTCAAAGGCCGTTCTACATTAAACGCAAGTCGCAGATCTCGTGGAACTGATCAATCACGTTGGTCGATTGGCTGATTTGACTCTGCAATTGGTCAATTCCACGAGATCTGCTACTTGCGTTTAATGTAGAACGGCCTTTGAGTTCCACTTTTGTGAAAATACGGCTTAAACCAGCGGCTGAAACCGTCGTAAAAAATTACATTAGGATGGCCGCTCTCAGGTTTCTCTCTGATAGGACTATATTTCAAAGTTTGCTGTGGTTCCAAAAGTACGATCCAATCAGAAGCGATTATTTCTCAACCGTTGTGCAACTGTTGAGTTGTCTGAACGCACCCAATGGAAGATGCGTTTCATAAGGTCTGTTCTTTTTCCATACTTTGGCTGCGCTAGTTCACAGTCTATCTTTTTTTATCTATATTAAAAGGAAAAAGATAGACTGTGAACTAGTGCAGCCAAAGTATGGAAAAAGAACAGACTTATATTATAGTTCAGTGTGCACGACAAGAGAACTAGGAAGTTTTGCGTTAAGATAAACAAAACTTTAGCAACACTGTACGTACACAAATTATTCGAGTTTTATCGGTTAAGTTGGTGACACTGATTTTGCAGCGAGAATTGCTTGATAAACAGCTGATTTTAGTCATGGAGACAGCTGCCTTGAACTTGGTGTGTTTTCTGCGTACTTCTTTTTAGCACACGCATTTTGTAATCGCTGGTTTAGGTACTTTTTAAATTAAATGCAACATTTTTTTATTTATTTCGCAATTCTCCCTCTTGAGATTGTTAGTATCGATATGGTACAATTTCCCATTTAGGGTATAGAAGTAAGACAAATCTTGCACCGTGTATGTAGTTTTTTTTTTTTATGAAAATGTGGTTTACATTGAATAAAAACACGAAGCATCAAGCGTATCTCGACTTTAATTTTTGTATCTTTTACTCTTTGTCGAGTGCGTCGTTAGAAGAACATATGTTTTCTGCAAGGCGCATGAGAAACAGAGACGGGCGGAGGCATCACTGCGGGAAGGAAAGTTTGAGGAAGCGGCTGAGTATCACGAAACTGTGGCCGATCTCTTAGCGAAGGCTCATGAGAAACTCGAATCCAGTCTGGTTAACGTGCACGGGTCAGCTGTGTCTTCTCAAGAACCTTATCTGATACCGATCCATTTGCTCAACAGTTTGGAATCACTCAGTCTGCAACAAGATTATCACAAGAGACAGGCAGCTGTGGTCAGGTACCGAATTATTCAGCTGCGTTGTTGAATTGGTTTTTTTTTCCCTGTATTTTATAAGATTTTAATACAAAAATTGTGTGCCATGTGGTTACCCATAGAATGAAGCAGGTGCGATACGAAGAATACAAAACAACGCTGGAGAATCATCAGAAAGATCTCCTTAGTAAAAATGTAGCCAAATATAGTGACAAAGAAAATTGCACCGACACAAGAAGTGACAAGTTTGATGGTTCGTTGCGTCAAGCCATATACAAAACTATCGACGAGCAGGACAATCTTTTGAGTTTGATATCGCTACCCGATAGCAATGAAAAAACATTTAAACATCCGAAGGACGCAAGTACCGTTATAGAAGAATTAAGAACTGTCAATAGCCAATTACGATCTCTTGTAGGAAGTTTACTTAGCCAATTGGAAGCGAAAGAAGAGGAAGTGCGTCAGTTGACAAAACGTCTGAAAACATTTTCCGCAAACGACGATATGAGAACAGAGGATCGCGCTTTAAGTCTTCCGCCATTGCCGCCTTTAACACCTCTTGAAATGCCACTTTTTGATTTTACATCCTCATAAACTCGATTCATCTCGCTATATTGAGTTTGTACGATTTCTTGTAAATCTACTCTAAGTGAGAAAGATTCAAGATGAGATCTGTTAACTCCGGCATCGAGTTGTTCACATAGTTAAATTAAAAAAAAAAAACAAAAAAACAAAAACCGCAATGATGTTTTATGGACCAGTCTGTCATCGGATAGATGCAATCTCTTGGCAAAAGAACGATTTATTACAAGTGCAAAACTATCCATATATCAATATATGCTATGTATATGGGTGTGTACATATAATTTATAATGTAATGATTCTAATGTATGTTAATTTTTAAAAAAATTTATAAACAATATATAAGAGTTGTGATAAAATATATGCAAATCAATCAATTAATTAATTTAAAATATATGCAGACAGAAAGAGAGAAACACCCATTATTTAATAATAATTAATGTCTAAATAATACAACATAAATGAAAAAATATCAAACGAAAAAAGAAACAGGACTACGTTTTTCGTGGCAACGTTAATCCGGTTTAATGACAAGCAAGTAATTTTTACATCATGATGTATATTTTATCACTAAATTTTAAATAAACATCTCTTGGTCAACCACCATGGGTGATTAACACACGTGTGATTTTGTATTTTGAAAATTTTCAAATCAATTTGTATCAGTGTTTTAACTCACACGCGATAGTTTTTAAAATGACGAAAATATCGATCAACAACAGACTCAAATGCTATATTCGTTATATTGAATTTGGAGTCAAGTTCTTATTGGCGGTGCTGTTATTTGCGCGTATCAACGGGAATGATGTAGGGAGTACAATATCTTCTTGACATGCCGGTACGTGTACGTAGCCACATTTGATTCGGTCGTTATTTCGGATAAAGTCAAAATTTTTAGTGCGTTTAAACAAATCACAGTAAAAAAAAGACATCGACATGAGTAACAAAGAAATTATCACGATTGCTGGAGGAATTGGTGGAATGCAGTTATCGAGTGCGATGTGGGAATCATTTTGTCATGAATATGGTATTGATGCTAACGGTCAACAGCGCGTACCACAACCGGATGTATCAATGAGATCATTTTTTGAAGAAACAGAGGAAAGGGTAGACTTTACAACAAACGAGCTTTAGTATTTAATTTCGTTGTTAAATTATAACGTATAATTGTTAAAATATTGCCGACGTGTAATTTTTGACGCATATGTTAAAAAAAAAAAAAAAAAAAAAAAAAAAAAACAGGTTTTTTTGTTTCCTGTCTGCAATGTTTTAACAAATCCAACACTTTTATTTTTGGAAGTATTTTTTTTTATCATCAGAAACACATCAATAAATCCAATAGAATTCTATCGAGAATACAAATTTCTTTCTAGATCATACCGCGTAATATAATGGTTTATCCTCACGATGACATTTCGATTATGACAGGCCACGATGTAACGTGGCAACCAACGTTATACCATCCGGATTCTATAATTGGTCTCAGAAATAATTTTAATGAGGCATTCTTTCCACAAGGTTATTTTCTCGATCAAGAAGGACTAGAAAGAACGTTAAACCGTATTCGAATAATGTGCGAACAATGTTCAAATCTGGATGGATTTATAATTTGCAGGTGAATGATTCTTTTTTTTTTTTGTGTCTTCTTAAACACAGAATTCGATCGCTATATCATTTTTAATTTGTGAAAGAAATTTATGTAAAATGTGAAAATTGCAGGCAGTACTCTGAGCATATCAATGGATTCATATCGAGACTACTGGAAAACTTTACGGAGGACTATAAAAAAAAAACTAAAATAGATTACGCAAAAGTTCCCCCGCCTAGTTCAATTAATTGTCACACCCGCACGGCAGTGCTTAACACTTTTTTCACTTTATCCGACTGCATGAAAAACATAGACTGTTGTATCATAGCAGACAATTCTGCACTAAGAAAAATATACACAGAGTACGAGTAAATTAGATACATTATTACAAAATTATATTACATATGTGTACACGTTTTTATAAATTCTGTAAATTTATATTGTAATTTTTTAATATATACGTGTGTATATATATATATACGGGGACCCACCTAACTTGAGCATCCTAAGTATCTCGCTTATTTTTTACGATAGGAAGATGCCGAAAAGGGTCATTATTCATAATATAATACAGAAAATCTCGCTCGTAAAATTAACAATAAATAATAATTAGAATAACGGTCTCTATCAATATTTGATCTTCGACTTCTGATTTGAAGTCTAATATTACATCAAAATAGACTGCCATACGTAAGATTTGTGTATTTTTACATCATATTGTTATCCTCTCTTTGCGACATGGCGTTATTTGATTTTATATACTGAAGAGAGCTCAAGTAAGGGCCGAAACGTCTATGAAACTACATTTATGTGAATTCTATATTTTATATTTTATATTCTATTTTAATAAACCATAAGATCTATTTTTGTTGCTCGATAGAGACCGTTATTCTAATTATTATTTATTGGTCATTATTCAGTTCGAGGAGACAAATACTGTAATAAACACGAAATTGTCTTCAAGATCATGGTCATTTTTTTAATCTGAAAGTACATATTTTTGTCCTCGCGATATGATAGGCAAGGTCAAGACGAATCTCCAAAAAGTTCTTGTTTGTTACAGTATTTGTTTCGAACTGAATAACGACCCTTTTCGGCATCCTCCTATCGTAAGAAATAAGCGAGATATATTTAGGATGCTGCAAGTTAGGCGGAACACCCTGTATATAAACTTACATTCTAAAAGCAATTTGTTACAAGTAACCCTCGTATAACGCGGGGATATTCCGTTTCGCAGAAATGCCGCGTTATACGAGGCTTGCTTACCCAGATAGCCAAATGTGAAAACTCAATATAAAGCAAATCATTGTATAGATTAAGTTGCTTGCCAATTGCTGTTGTGTTGTTTTTATTTAAAGCAACGAAAATGTTTTTGTCAATTCAGAATTAATATGCTGAGTTTTACTGTCAATCAATTGTTGTAGCCAATGTTTATGACAAGTGAGTCAGCAATATGTGAGCAATATGTGGGCAATAATTTTTATTCATAAGTTGAGAAAAATAATATAAGTTTATTGCCGATGAGATGTTGGAAACTTGCTGTTATTATAATTTTGAAAACTGCTGTTGGCAAGAACATACTGAAAAGAGAGATACACCCTTTTGTTACATTGCTGAAAACATATGAGCAATATTTGTAGCAAGTTGCCAACAAGTTGCACTCAGTTGGCTATCTGGGATATAAGCGTACATGTTGAAAAAACGGAGTAGTTAGACTTGATTTTATTGCAATTTGTTAAACCGCGTTTATATCGAAATTGTGTGCGTTGTTCGCGTTACACGAGAGAGAGTTATCTATGTATGTAAAATCTAATATCACTTAGATGTATTACAGGAAACTGCATCAGAACGTAGGAGAAAATTACTATTACATCTATTCCGTGTACAACCGCGTATTAGCACAAGCCTTTTCTACTATTACCTCACCGTTAAGATTTCGTTCGACGAACAACTGGAGTCTGGATAATTATAAAGTTCTTGTACCGCATAAACAAATACCTTTTGTTGCAATGTCTTACGCACCGTTTGTTACTATTGAAAGATTGGAGCTTCACAATCAATTAATTGCAGACGTTACAAACGAATGTTTGGATCCTGCTAATCAAGTATGTATAAAAATCCACACATTATTGACGCATATAATCGTGGAATCTAAACGTTCTTTAATTGTTAGAAAAAGATATGTATATCGCGTAATAATAAATTGTTCATCTCTCTTGTTTATATATATATTTTGCGTACAGACATTCCCGGTAAAAAATTTTCCATGTATAAAATTGCATAGACATATTCGGCACATATAAATTTGAACAATTAGATATAATAATTTTAATTTGTGTATAAGTACATATGATTATATATCAAAAATTTTTTAAAAATATAGTAAAAATATAGTTTTATATAATTATTTTATATCTAACATGATACTAATAGAGTTATTTTGNAATTTGATTTTGGAATATCTCTGAAGCCATTCTCTTAAAAAAAGAAATTCTCCGTGTGTAAAATTGTATGGACATATTCGGCATATAAAAAAATTTGAATAATTAGATATAATTATTTTAATTTGTGTATAAGTATATATGAAAAATTTTTTACCGGGTTTGTCACAGGCTAAAATGTGAGAAAAAAAAGTCAAAACATTTTATTTATTACGCGTATATATAAACTAATTCACATTTTGATTGGTAGACGTTGTCGTATAATCCACGTAACGGGGCTTATATCAGCAGTTTGCTTGTATATCGCGGTTCTGAAGTGATACAAACAGACGTTACGACTATGGTTGCCAACATAAACGATCAATGCAAACAAGGCGTAGATATGCGCCGTGCCAATGGTATCGAAAACCCATTTCAGGTATCACAATGTATTTAGTTAAATCATCTCGTATATCTGTTATAACTTTCACACCCCGACAATTTTGCGCAGAGAGCCAATATTGGCTCTGCCGGCTCTTTCTAAGAGTTAAGTTAGCTTTTTATACGCGCGTATATGTGAGAATTTCTTTTATTTTAGGGTACGTCTGTTCGAACTGGTACTGCCGCGGTTGAGAGTACTTACATAGCATGTCCAATCCAATCGGTTGCAAGTTGCAGCAACAATACCGATCTTTATTATTACTGGAAAGCGTTAGCAGTTAATGCGGAAGATGCGCTCTACGATAAAACTCGTCACTCCGAAGAACAATTGAACACACTTGATCAAATCAAATCTTGTTACAATTATATAAACAGTACTATGAACCGTAACTACGACTATAAAGTGGAATTAAAGAATGTTAACGAATGTCTGCTTAATATGTTAGACCTATATGCGGACTACGATTGCAAAATACAGCATGATCGACGTTTCTCAGGTTTCGTGCATCATGGTTTCTCATGATCGATATCAAGTGTGATAAGAAAAGAAACGTTCCCAGCGAACGTGAACCCGCGCTGAGAGCAGTAAGACCCACACGAGATAATGTTATTCAAATAGAAAAAAAATTTAGTTATAAATATTTTGCGGAGCGCGCAAGTCAAGCGTTGTAAAATAAATTTATAAATCTATTTCTTGTGTGTTATTTCAAAACTATTTTTGAAAATCGCGATTAAAAGTAAGGCGGCGTCCGTAAATAAGTCATTGTCGTTAATAAGCGTGGTTGTCGTGAGAATGTCGTTGTTCAATCGACGCGAACGACACGTAACAAGATTGTTAGAATCTTTTTGTACAAGCTGAACGCAAACGAGAAAAAGAATCGTCTTTATTAAATCCATCTGACATGTAACGTCCCGTTCGAGAACACTTTGGATTGTCGCAAATCTTTGCGCAAATCCAAAAGTTTAATAATGATATTTTTCTTACTTAATTCATTCTTAAACCGAGCAGAATCTGTACACAGATGACCTTTACAATTGTTGACTTAGCGTGCGCTACACGTTCGATAGTAATTATTATTGATTGTATTTTGTGATTACTTGACGTGAGAGAGATAGTGCAGTCATTCTAACTAATTTCGATAAATCTTGTTTACATAGACTTTGACTGATCGGTTAAGCCGATTCTTTTTCGCCGCTCCCATTTTTAAGTGACATTAAACGTTTTGCGCACCAGATGTTATCTTTACGTCAGAAAAAATTTTCGTCCATGTTTGAAACAGTGATCAACCTAAAAGACACAGTGTCCGTCGCAGAGAGGAGCGTGGAAAAGGCGCGCTGCTGGCCTTCGAGAAAATGTTATCTTGCAGATCATATCGCACCAACTCTTGCGTTGTTAAAATAAATTGTAAGTACATATATATATATATATATATATATTATATATATATATGTATATATGTATATATATATGTATATATGTATATATNNTATATATATATTATATATATATATATATTTTATATATATATTATATATATATATACACGAGTTACATCAATACGATGATATACACACACACATAGATATATATATATACACCCTTACGAAAAAGAACTACTGGCAGTAATATATTGCGGCAGTGGTACGAAAAAATGGACTGGCATTCTGTGCAATTGCCAGTAATATTCTCAGTGTGATTCCTGTAATACCTAATAATATTCCTATGTGATTGTCAGTAATATTTATATTACTGACTTTATTTATATGTAATCGACAGTAGTTCTTTTTCGCAAGGGTACATATCATCGTATTCATATAACTCGTAAATATATATACATGCTTTGATAAATAGGCAATCCGCTTCTCTCTCAAAGTGCTTGTATATTATATTACGCTTATTATTATTATTATTATTATAGTATGTTGTTTTTTGCTTATATTGTTTTTTTCAAATTTTATATCGCTGTTGTTTTAACTTTTCCTTTTATTGGCATTTTTTACAAATAAAATTGCGCGCACACATACAGAATTTACATCATTCACACGCGTCATGTGTTTTTAAAGAAAAAAAAACCAAGTAGAACAGAAAAATCGGGAGGATTTGCATGCAAGATCAATGTATCGGAGAACTTACGCCGCTAATCGGTGATAGATGACGCAGAAGTTTCTTATCGCAATCTGAAATCGCTTATGACAATCACGTTTGTTCTAACGTTCTTATTTACAACGGCACGGGAGCGTCACGTGAGTTACTCTCTCGACTGCGTGGAATCGGTCGCTTCTTTATCCATGCGTCACGGAATTTTTAAAAATCTCGCACAAGACGGAGCTGCCATATTGCCACTTTGCGAGCCAATTAAATCATGGCGGCCAGGAGGAAGACGGAACTGCGCAAACCTTTCATGCACAGACCGCGTGTTGGCCGGGGGAGATACCAATCGAGTTTTATGTACTCTCACGATGAAGTGATTCTTTGTAATATGACTGCCGATAAGGTGCATATTCTTTGTTGATATAAATATTTTTTTTTTTTTTTCAAAATAAATCCAAGTATCGTGAGAGCTAAACACACATTGAAAATTTTTTTTCAATTAATTTTTCCTTACAGAAATGAGGAAAAGTATATCGCGTTTCTTAATTAAGCGCTTCAAGTTCAACAATTGTGTAAAAAGTAATAAAGAACAGCTGTTAAGAAAGATTGTTTTTTGCTCATTAATGCAAACGTAAAAAAATATAATGAATCTTAAGGAATTCGACCTGCTGAACACGATGATGCAATTAGTTTTCCTTGAAAGTGCGGGGAACATTGTTGTTTTTCAGGTTAAAGTTCTATTTTTTATCATTTCCGCGATTCTTCTCTAAGAATCAAGATGATTTTTTCAATACGAGTGGAATATTTCATATGAAACTTAGAGAATGAGGAGATTTCTAATATTGTTGAGATCTAACAAACAGATGAATTCGAAATGGAAGAAAATGACGGATGTCATTTTTTTTCTTTTAATTTAAATTCCTCGTGGTTGTATTCCTCAAGGTTAATGACGATGACTCTAAGATCGCGTCTGCTACGATCTCATTTACTTACGAATATGGAATTTTTAAATACTTATTAACTTACAGTTAGTGCAAAAAAAATGGCCAATTAAATCCGTCATCTCGGACCCTCCATGTTTCGAATTTATCTTGTTTATTAAAATTTCAACAATTTTAGGAATCTTCTTGTACCAAGTTTGAGAAATGTCCCACTTGTATTAAAAAAAACCTTGATTTTTAGAGAGAAATCGCGCGAAAATAATGAAAAATAGAAGTTTAACTTGAAAAATGTGACAAAGTTCCACACTTTCGAGAAAAACTAATTTGCATTGCCGTTCAGCGGGTCGAAATCTACAAGATCAACGATGTGTCTTGCCGGCCACCTGTTTTGTTCACATTGTTCTTCGAATCTCTAAAAGCGATTATACACATAAGTCATAATTTTTAAATGTTCTTTTTTGTCTTCCTCAACGTTATGCAATGTTATGTACTTTAGTCTATTATAGTTTTGCAAAAAAAAACGTACGCATGCACGTGATAAACGTGTGGATGAGATATCGCACACGACACGGGTGCAATATTTGCAAGTGATATATAGATTCAAAACGATTGCAGAACACGAAGCGTATTTTATCAGGTGTATACATTTTTAGACACATATCGAACGCTGATAAAAATCCACATCCACTTGACGAATATCTTTGCTGGGGACTTTACGCTTTTGCGTTACGACACGAAAAAAAAAAAAAAAAAACGTCTCGATCGTGTACTTTACGTCGATTAAGATTTGATCATCTCGAAACGCGATAAATCGAACGTCGAGTTACGATCTTTTTAGTTACGCATCTTACAAACGATCTCTATCGCGTGATATTTATCTAAAATTCGACTCGTGTGCGATGCTGCTTGTTTGTTTTTTGTTTTTCTTTTAATTTCGACGAAAACTAATTTGGCAATTACGTGACTTCAAGATGTATGACATAAGTTGTGCTCGTTTGAAAATTCAGAGAGTGTTTACAAGAAGAGAGGATTATTCTTCTGTATTCTCATTATTTTGATCAAGTCAAATGTCATTCGCTCGTAAGCGATAAGTCGACGACCCGATGCGCAGTGCGATTGCGGGACAGACGCAATGTTTTGTTTATTGTTGCAATCGCATCTTCGCTCTCTCGACATTACGCACGCCATTAGTTGTCGCATACTTAATTGTCATATGATATTTTACGTCAAAGAGCGTAGACGTCAATTTGGCTGATCGTGCAACTTTTGTTTGAAAACGAGTAGGTACATAGTCCACATGTATCGCACTTTGAAAACGCGACAAAGTTTATCACGCACACGCACACACGCGCGCGCGCGCGCACACACACGCTCGTATATATATTCACGCACGCACATATATGCACGCAAAATCCTAGTTTAAACTCTCTTGAGACACACGTGTGGGTCTCTCGTTATCACGGTCTCCTCTTATCGCGCGCGCGTCTTCGAGACAAAAAATCTCTCCCTCTCGATGGCGAGTGGTTTATTGAGAAGTGACGCACGCGTGAATCCCGCGTATCTCCGTAGACTCGTGACGCGATTCTAATGCGTCTCGCGTCTCGCATATAAAATACAGCGCGAGCGAATCCAGATCGCATTCAGAACTCGGTTCTCACCTCTGCGAGTTACAAATGAGGTAGAAGCGAACGGCGGCGAATATCAAAAACCTCTTTGATATTTCGAGAATATATAACTCTCGAGTTATATAAAAAAAAAGTACAATATCAACGTTCTAGTCAATACTCGCAGTATCAATCTTACACAAAGGTAAGTCCCGTTTTTCTTTCTTCATGCACTCTCACGAGAACAAAACAAAATTTTCATTAAAAATCATGAAAATAATTTGATTTGTCAATCGAACGCAACGCGATTTCCCGAGTCGAAATTTAGCGTCTACATTGAATCTCAATTTTTGAAAAAAGGAAATTTCGGACGTAGGGTAAAAGATCCAATTACTGTCACCTGTCCAATTACCGTCACCCTAAGCTATTTTATTTAAAATATTAAATAAATCCTATAAAGTTACGTTATGAAAACAATCTAACGTAGAATTTTAAGTGCAATTAATATAACAAAAAAAATCCAGCACTCAACATTCGCGTCTCATTTCTTTCATCTTAGGGGGTGACAGTAATAGCTCTCGCGTCGTTCTTTTTTAATTATTAAATTTGTAAATAAAAAAAATAGAGATTTTGAGAGGCGGTATTATTTTGTTTCTTATATTAGAGACATCGAATAACACCGGATAAGAAGAAAAACACATGTTTTTGATAAACAAGTAGTAAAAACAATTCACTAACGCCAGAGTTTATTATTCGGGTGACAGTAATTGGGTCTTTTACCCTATATAGCAGCGTCAAAGTAGCATCTACTTTTTTTCTTACTCCTACATAAAAAAAAAAGAAAAATTGAGGTTCAATGTAGACGATTAAATTTCGACTCGCGGGTTTGCATTCGCATTTTGATCATCTTCCGTTCTGTTTTCGATCAAACAAATTCCCGCTACGTAAGAGAAACGTAGTAATATTTTATTATACATATATATTTCTTTTTTTGTTTAAAAACATTTTTTCTTTCATCTCATATATTTCTCTCTCTCAACATATTCGTTATATTTTGTAAAATCAATATTTTATAAATGTACGCGTCGATTTTCCACATAGACTTTAGCATATTGAGTCGTGATATAGATATAACGTGTGTCTAAAAAAGATGATGTGAATTTATTTAGATGCTGGTCGGTGGTGCTGTAAGCTACGTCGCTGGAAAGCAGGCGGTTCGCACGGTTTATTGGCGTACCGCGAACAATGGTCGTCTCTTGAAGACTGCGAAAACCTGCATGTTTCAAGGACCACCCAAACCCGCTCCATCGTCCACAGCGGCTTCTTCCGCGGTTTGTCCCGCGCAATCACGCATGGACCTGATACCCAAATTCATCTGAAGATGAAGCGCCGCGTTGCGAAGAACGTTTATATATTGTAAAACAAATCTTGTACATACAGTTGTAATATTTAATCTCAATTGTACATTTAGAGCTTAATCTTATATATTTAAATCGATATGACGACGCAATAAAAAAAAAAGCGATTATTTATTTTCTCAAAAACAAATATCGTTTTTCTTTCTATTTTAAATACAACCCGAACAAAGTATTCCGCAGATGGAAAAAAAATAAATAAATATACGCCTGTTTTTTTTTATGTATAAAAGATAAAATCTACGATATTTTTTTTCATAAGTTTCGTTTTTGGCGATTTGTCTCGCGGAGAACAGTTGATTTTTGACACTTCTGCGCAATTGAGTGACAGATTCAGATAGCTATCGTGTTATCATTCCGTTTCTCGAAGGGAAAACGATAATAACAGTGAGACAATGTGAAATTGGAAGAAATGCAAAAATAGTATCCACACCGAAAAGAATAGCCAGTCGATATGGCATTGAGATCACGTCGGTAGGAGAGAGAGAGAGAGAGAGAGTAGATGGGTGGTTTTCCAGAGCTACGTATACACACAAGAGTCAACACAAATCGCGTTACACAACTAAAATGTTGCGTTCGATCGTGTCACCGTTTGTTTTATCATTAATCGTTATATACCATATTCACCGCGCGTGACATACCGGAACATCGTTTGTGATAAAAGTTACGTAAAATAATTTATCTGCGCTCTCTCTCTCCGACGATAAAATTAAAAAAAAAAACAAACAAGTTAAATAATTATCGTTTCAGTTCACAAGTCGACACTGCGTCGACAAAGTGTGACGACTGTGTGTTTCCGTTGCTGAAAAGCAACCCTATGTATGTAACGGTAAGACGACACACACAAAAGTCACGCCGGCGCGGTAGCGCGTTTATCGATTTTGGAAGCAAAGCTACCCTTATAGAGTCCCGACACATCGATTTGACGCGAAAGCGCCGAAGGAAACATATAACCGGTTTTGGACACTCGGTTTTCAGCATCGGAAAAATTTAGTTTTCTTTATGCGGGAAACAACGAAAAAAAGAAGAACGGTGGTTCTCGAAGGGTGTGAAGATAATTAATTATTACACACATATTCGCGCAAAAGCCGCGTCTCTTTTCGCGAGCGCGGAAACGTGTTTTTGAAATCATAAGAAAAAAATACACCCCTTGCCTTGACGTCTTGCTCCGCGTCGCGAGACGCATTCTCAAAATCTTCGCGCTGCCACCAGAAAGGAAGTGATATCAAGGAAAAATCATGCAGAACTACGGACACGAGGATTACGATTACGGGGCGTCGAGCGATCCCTCGCAACCGGGTCGAGTTCTGCCGCAGGTTCCGAATGCCAGGCCGATGGTGGACCCGCAGGCCGAGGGTGAGGTCGATCCCAACTTGTATCCCCAACCGAAGGAAGCCACCAACAAGATTCGCGGCAAGAGCGACATCCTCGAGTATCTCTTTGGTTCCGTCGATCAGGAGCTTCTCACCGTGAAAACGTTCTACTTCTTCTTCTACTCGGCCTTTGGTTCTCTGTTTCCGCTCATGGGGGTCTACTTCAAGCAGATGGGCATGAACGCCGGACAGTGCGGTCTTCTCATCGGTCTCAGGCCGTTCATCGAATTCTTGAGCGCTCCGTTTTGGGGTTCCCTGGCTGACAGGTGTGTGTGTGTGTGTGTGTGTGTGCGAGCCAATATTGGTTTGTTTTTCGCGACTCTGCGTTGTTTCGATTAAATAATAATTAGTCATTAGTAATCGCGATCGCGATTATAGTCATCGTACATATGCGATATCCATATAACAACAATACCGTGTAACGGAAATATTTATTTACGATAGTCGTCGAAGATGGGAATTTATTTTTTAATTTACAGACATGAATCTTTACGGTGACTATTGTAGAAAAAAAATAAGAAATGACGAAATTGCAACAGTTTCAACACATTTGCGTCTTGGCGGTTGTCTTATCAATGTGGTTCGCGCGATAAATTAAAAAAAAAAAAAAAACTTGCAAATAACGCTTATAATATCGCATTAATGAGCGATCTTTGGTCTAGTGAACTCGTAATGTGTCAGCTCGCTTTGTATGAAAAAAAAAAAAAAAAAAGAGAAAAAAGAATAAACATTGCTTACTCACACTCTTGTTGCATAATAAATTTGTTTCTTCCGTAGAAGTTTGTGTTGAAAAAAAAAAAAAAAAAATACGATAACGAGGATATAAAGAAAATAAAACTAATGAAAAAATTCTAGAAGGAAGTAAATAATTGAGATGTGACATGTAGTTAAAATAAATTTCTACATCTGTTAATGTTTTTCCATCTTTTTTTTTTTTTTCTTACAGATGGCAAAAAGGCAAGATAATTCTATTAGCTTCACTTTCCTGCTGGATTCTCTTCACTCTGCCGTTGGGTTTCATTCAGCCACCGCCGACTTCTTGCATGGTCAAATCGAACAACAATACCGCTTATTATCTGGAAGCGTCGAACCGAGAACAAAGAATTGTGAAAAGATCAACGGACTTGGACGAGTTGTATTATCGCGAGAATAAGGACGAGTATTTAGAAGTCGCGTCCAATGTCGTGTTCGAGAGATTGCGACGAAATACGGACAACAATGAATTAACGGAATCGACGAAGAAACCGAGTTTGTTGCGAGAAAACGAAACGGGAAAAAAAGTGGACGCTGGAGATCTCGACAACGACAAATTGAGAAAGAACAGAGTCAAGAAACAAACACCCGTTCTGGAAAAAGAGAGCGACAACCGCGATGACACGTCGGTGTCGGAAGAAAATGTCAACGATCCGTACGCCAAGACGATGGTCGATTTGGAAACGTTGCGAGAGAAAAATCGTCCGGCCGATCTTTTAGAGTATAAACATTTCCTAAAGGTATAATATATTTCTCTTCTATTTTTTTTTTTTATCATTTATGCATACACATAAAATATTTCAGATTTACCGCAAAATTTTACACACGTGTGTTTATTTCGCAGAACGAACCGATGAAAGACGGAACGGTACCGAAGAAGGCTCATACTCGTACGAAAACCCGCGTTAAACCGCCGCCGGCAAAAGTGATGGTAAAACGAGAAGTTGACGTTCCGTTCGAAACCTGGAAGATCGAGAACAGCGAGGAGGAACACGGTAGAAACGTAAACGCGCCGTTGTTTAGAAATCGCAGAAGCGTGAGAATGTATCACGTCGGGAGTCAACTGTCTCCATTATCGGTCACTTACGCCGCGAACTATAACGAAGAACACAATAAAGGTTGGGTGAAACCGCTCTTCAGTTCCATCGTTTACAGATTACCAGTAAGTGTAACACGGGCGAGTGTTCGATTTATCTCGCAATATCAAAAGTCCGAAAGATATACTCTTCGCTTATTAAAAAAAGTCTTAATTTAAAAAAAATATTATCTAAACTGTTATAAAAAAAAATTAACTGCGCCTGTACGCGAACTTTTATTATTATTTTTTTTTATGTTTGAAACAAACGCTAAATGTGTGTGTGTGTGTGTGTGTGTGTGTGTTTGTATTTTACACTCAGAAATAGTTTCGATTTTTTTGTTCCACTTATGCGATCCAGATATACTCCTCACTAAAAAAACAAATTTTAATTTTAAAAAATTATTATCTGATCTGTTATAAAAAAAAAAATTAATTGCGCCTGTACGCAAACTTTTATTATTAATTTTTTTTATGTTTGAAACAAACGCTAAATGTGTGTGTGTGTGTGTGTGTTCGTATTTTACACTGAGAAATAGTTTCGATTTTTTTGTTCCACTTATACGATCCAGATATACTCCTCACTAAAAAATCAAATCTTAATTTTAAAAAATTATTATCTGATCTGTTATAAAAAAAATTAATTGCGCCTGTACGCGAACTTTTGTTTTTTTTTTTTTTTTTTTATGTTCGAAACGAACGCAAAATGTTTGTATTTTACACTCGGAAATAGTTTCGATTTTTTTGTCCCACTTATGCGACACGTCCTCCCGATGATTTCAGGATATTCAAAAGACGTTCTTCCTCCTGCTGTTGTTGGTAATTGTCGGTGAATTTTTCTCGGCACCCGCTATAACTTTAGCCGACTCGGCTGTTATCACTCTGCTCGGCGAGGACGCTGATAGGTACAATATCAATATAACATCTCTCCAATGCTCTTTGCGATATGATAAAACGACGTTGCGTTTTAAAACTTTTGCTTTTCAAAGAGCTAAATAAAAATCAATATATATATATTCAATTCTGTTTGTTTGAATATCGAACAAATTTATATATTCGTTATTTCGCGGTCTGTAAATTTGTCTGCATTTAAAATTAATTAATTAAAATTAATTATGAAGATGAAATCTCAATTTAAAAAATCAGATACGGCCATCAACGCATGTTCGGGAGTCTCGGATGGGGTTTGGCCATGTTTTTCGTTGGAATCGCTCTTGATCACAGCACCGCGTTCTCGGATCATCCTTGCAAACCTGACGACAGGGAAAAGAATTACACGATTTGTTTCGCGATATTCAGTGTACTAATGGGCGCCGCACTGATAACAGCAACGCAAATTACTTTCAAGTATGACTTCGCGCCCGCCGAGCCGGTGAGTTTCTGACTCATTTTGTTTTAATGTGACCAAATCGGTATATTTAACACGGTATTAAACTTATTGTTGCGTTGCAGGAAGTTGAGAAGCCTCCCGCCGAGCCAACGCGGGAGGAACAACTTCAAAGTCAATTATCTCAACAGCTTAATCTGCCTGGTCTTCAGGATTCGTCCGCCGCCGTGGATCTTAAACCTCAACCTCCCGAAGGGAAGGTCAGTTATACATAGTTCTTCAATGCAGAAAAAAAAAAAAACAACTAGTAACGTATTATATATTTTTAGTAATAACAATATAAATTATGTTGATTTTTTAGACCAAAATGTTTGCTCAAACGATAAAAGAAATACCGGAATGGGTGACGGTGTTGAAACAGTTTAAAAATCTGAAGTGCGCCTCGTTTCTCTTCGTCGCGTGGTGGATGGGATTCGGCATCGGACTGATCTTCACTTTCCTCTTCTGGCATCTGCAGGATTACGGCGGCTCGCCGACGCTTTTCGGCGTCGCGTCCGTGATCAATCACATTTCCGAGATCTTCGCGTATTTCTTCAGTTTCAAATTGATCCGACAGATCGGACACGTTAAGGTAAACAAACAAACAAATGCGATAACGTGCGTCAAAGATTTAAGAAAAATGAAACTTTTGAAATCTGCTCGAAGTCATTTTTTTTTTTTTTTTTTGGAATTAATCCTGAGAGAGAAAACTATCTAACAATAGGGTAAAAGACCCAATTACTGTCACCTGAATAATAAACTCTGGCGTTAGCGAATTGTTTTTACTACTTATTTATCAAAAACATGTGTTTTTCTTCTTATCCGGTATTATTCGATGTCTCTAATATAAGGAACAAAATAATACCGCCTCTCAAAATCTCTATTTTTTTTTTTATTTATAAATTTAATAATTAAAAAAGAACGATGCGAGAGAGAGCTATTACTGTCACCCCCTAAAATGAAAGAAATGAGACGCGAATGTTGAGTGCTGGATTTTTTTTTGTTATATTAATTGTGCTTAAAATTCTACGTTAGATTGTTTTCATGCGTAACTTTATAGGATTTATTTAATATTTTAAATAAAATAGCTTAGGGTGACGGTAATTGGACAGGTGACAGTAATTGGGTCTTTTATCCTATTTGAACAATATTTCAGGTGTTGTGCATGGGTCTGGGCGGAAATGTGCTGCGCTTTCTTTACATATCTTGGCTAAAAAACCCATGGTGGGTACTGCCCTTCGAATTCATTCAAGGCATCACGCACGCGGCCGTATGGGCTGCGTGCTGCAGCTACATCGCTCACAACACACCCGCGCAGTTGCGCTCGAGCGCGCAGGGTGTTCTTCAGGGACTTCATCACGGACTCGGAAGAGGTTGCGGAGCGGTGATCGGTGGCATGTTCGTTGCGGCTTACGGTAAAAGTCTTTCGATTAGTCCATTGATTTCAAAATAAAAATAATATTTTTACTCTCGATATCGATTAGCAACATATATATATATATATATACATATATGCGTGTGTATGAATATTACGTTCAACGTGTGCAGGTACGACCGCGACTTTTCGCGTGTACGGTTACATTTGCATCGTCGTCTTAGGAGTTTTCGTCTTCATCAATTTCTACAGAAAAGATACCGGTTTCGTGTCCGAATTACCGCTGGCGGAGGATCCGCGTCAAGTGGCCGAAGCCACGCATTTGGCGCCGCACGGCGTACCGAGCAACGCCATACCGCGCGCTCTGAGTTCAACTCGTTTGCACGAGTTGGCCAATCAGGATTCCGGCTACGGTGCCACTTATCAAACCGCTGGTGGAAATCTGGCCGTACCTGGTGCTAACGGAGGTGAGAATCTATTCTGCGTTATTTTTTAATAATATTGTGTTGCTTTGTGATGTACGCAGTTTTGGATGTGATTTTTGATATTTTTCATCAATTACTTTATTGCCGCAGGTCCCGGCAATCCAACAAATCCATTCTTAAACGGCGGCGGTGGAGGCGAGGGTGGATATAATTACGGTATGACTGGCAAGAGGGAAGACGAGTATATTCGTAGGAGCTTCCAGGTTCAGTAAAACTTGATTCTAATTTAAAAAAAATGTCCGTCAAGAGGACGCATGTCGATTAAAAAAAAAAAAAAAAAAAGAAAGAGAGAAGACGAAGAAAAAAGATGTTGTGTTACTACCCGCGTCTTCTCTGAAGTGATATCACTGAACGAGAAATCCTATTTATACACTTTGCCACGCACATTGTTGTTCAACTTCCGACGGTGAGTATGGCGTCGAGCGGATAAAACTGACGATACGCTTTTTCTTTTGTTTTTGATATATAGATCTACAATGAGGTGGTGGGTGGTGAACTTGATGTCGTAAAACCGACTATCCAACTGCATGCCCAACAACCGTGCACCAATCCCTTTCATCAGCACGATTACGACTGGTAACGAGATTCAATCTGTCGATATATAAAAAGTTTGTTACTTACAATCGACACAGTAGAGAATGCGGAGAGAAGATGAGAAGGAGAAGAAAGAAACACACACATTTACTAAAAACATACCTATAGTAACGTAAATATAAAATACCATACAAAATGCAAATATATACCACGCATACGCGCACACACGCGCACCGAAAGCGCGTTCGTTATTATTTTACCTGAAGTTTTTTTTTTTTTTTTATTTCGAGAGACTTGCGTTGTTGTTGTTAAATTTAAATTGCATTATCTAGCAAGATCTTCGATTTTCTTAATTAGAGATTTTTGAAGGGAAAGACGTGTGTGTACATATATTTTGAGAAAACACAGAAGTAAGAGAAGGTCCATTGATTATATCCACTTGATATAACAAGTGGTGGTGTCGTGCGGTAAGTGTCACGTGCGGGGTCAGCAAATTGCGAGCAACGAGCGCGTCGTCCAAAAAACATGCAATAATCAGCATTGCTCTGTTTGGATAAAAGGTCGCGGCGTGATCGCGCTCGACCAATTACAAACGGCCAACGATTCTATCTGTGAAGAATTCAACGCAAATCCCCCGCGGATCGATTACGAGGTCGTTGTCGCCGAAAGGCCGATTCTGTCCGAAGAGAAATAGGATCGCTCGTCGCCTCGAGCGGTATACCGAAGTCACCGCGAAACGTGTATGCGATTAAAGAAATTTATATATAGTAATTTTCTAAAAAGAAATATATATATATATATATTTCTTCTCAACGAAAACTCTACTATTTAGTTTTCCCCCGACAGCATCCACGCGGGAAATAAGTAGTAGAATCGATCTCCAAACGAGGACTCGTAACGAAGGACCAAGCGCGTAGTAGTTGAAGCACGTAGTTCAACGTAGAGCACAAAAAAAAAAAAAAAAAAAAAAAAAAAAAAAATTTTTTTTTCCCCGTCTCCAAAAAAAGTTGTAAAAAAAAAAAAAAAAAAAAAAAAAACCATTACTTGCAAACTATATTTTCTTCGTGATAATAATATGTGCGCGTTGTGTGCGTCTATGCGTGTGTGTGAAACAACAAAGTGCGCGTGTGCGTTTACGTCTCTGTGCCGCCATTGTCAGACACGTAATTGAGATAGGGATATGTGATAAAGTAGTATCTGTGGACGAGCGGAAACAATAATGCTTCTCTTGTAATTGCTCCATTCAGCAACAGATCTATTGTACGGTCTCTTGTACGTATAAACTTTATCACACCGTCCTCCTCCGACAATTTGTTCTGATAATTGTTTTTGTACATTTGTTTGTTTGTTTTTTTTCCTGAAATTTACTTTACGTTGCTTTCTCTTATTTTTTTCGACGGAAAAGAAGTTCTTCGCGTGTTTTTAGGGCGTCAGGGAATTAATGGTAAGACCAAATTGATCTGATTCAATCGAAAGTGCCTATCGAAAGTTCCCTGACGTTCTTGTTGACGCAACAACTTGTTAGTTCCTCGCTCTCTAAGAATTCTCCGTCATCTTCCCGCATGTAATAATATAATAATAATAATAATAATAATAATAATAATACAACGGGGAAGACAATATGACTTGACGATTCTCTCCGAATCTCTCGATTGAATTCGTGGAATTTGTTAATTCGGGTAGAAACATTTTTATTGAATTTTTTGTAACGCGCTAAAGAATCTCGAGAATTAATATGACAATTTCTTTTTATTATTCGCGTGAACGTTCGCACTATCTTGAATATTCAGGGTATCATTCCAACGCACTGTAGCAGTAGTACGTTCGCAAAAGAAACGAACGTACATTGTCGAAAGAATTATAGATAGATCTGTACATGCTGTTTGAAAAAAAAAAGCAAAAATATTTACATAAACATATATGAGAATTGATATTACAAAATTGTAATTGGGAGATAATCTGACAGAGAGCCGTATTCTATATATAGAAACGTATTGTATACGGATCGTTTTTACCGATCTCGTCGATTGGCGATCGTTTAAACGAGGACACGTGCGTAAACTAAATCGAAGAAGAGATGTTCACTTGTAAATAATATTCTATATATACATATATATATATATATATATAATTGTCCGCGTAGAGAGTTGCTAATTCCGCTCACTTTTCACGTTATTTATTATATATCAAATCTTTCGTTCCCGAAACCGAGATTGTTAAACTTTTGAGACGTGACTACCCCCAATAGAAAATTCTTCTTAGAGAAATCTCTTATCGAAACTAAAATCTCTCTATCTCTCTCTCTATCGTGTCTACTACTTTGATTACATAAAGTATATGTTGTGAGACAAAAGTTGTATTATACTATTGTTGAAAAAAAAAAAAAAAAAGAACAGAGAAAAAAAAATAGTAATATGTATATATATATAAAAAAATGTCGCGCAGAGCAGAGCGAGAAAGTTTGCCACCCGGGTATAAACTCGACTTTCATAAAACTGCAAGTCTTGTGACCATCGTCGACAACCGTCTGGGAAACATAATTACATACGATTCTACGTCACGTTAAATATATGTTCAGCAGACGTTATTGCTAAATAACAAAGAAAAAGAACTTGCATCTTTATAAAAAAAAAAAATGGTTGTTCCCTGAAAGAAATCGGTGACAGAGTTAAAACTCGTTTTCTGCTTCAAGTTTTGAGAACGCGCGGGACATTACTATTCAGAGACAGAGGTAGAAAAACTGTAATGTGTATCTATATATATATATCTTCTAGTTCGAATTCTGAAACTGAGATAAATTATATCGGAGAATCACCACAGGCGCATGTATGCATTGTATACGTAGTATTTTTGTAAATCGTACATTGACCGACGCGTGCAACAAGGAAGATTTTAATTTCTCATTCTTCCGTTGAAACAAACCAAGAAGAAGAAAAACAAGCTATTATATTATAATTTTCATTATCTTCGTTTGGTGAACGTACGCTTTACGAAATATTACGCGAGAGTGTGATGTGCGACATCACACAGGTGGATACATTTTTCTCTTGTATCGGTCATATCACTACAACACATCGATATTATGCGGAGATTTTTATTATAATAAAGTGTATAAAAATAATTTTTATGTTTTACACACAAAGACTGAAGCGAAAAATGTCTTGCGCACGAAGAGCGACCGATCCGAGAGAACACTTCGGAACACCACCGCGTATTATATATATATATATGTGCGTATTTGTATTATATAAATTATATATATAGCCACATTCTATATATATATATATATACATATATATATATACGATATAATGTATGTGACACGACTGTATTCGACTGTGCGCTTATGTATCGTGTATGCATCAGCGGAGGGAAGGGGGGGGAAGTGCTAATTAGACAAACGTACTAAAGAAACGAGAGAATAGATAATCGAGAGGATAAATGGCTCTCTTTAACCTCTGCAAATCCTCACGAAGAAATGTTTCCGCAAAGAGATAAAAAAAAAATATTTGTTACAATAGTCTTTCATGTAACATATTGTTTATTTTAACACACGTTTAACTGTAAACTGTTACGTTGATATTGTTGAATAGTTGAATTTTTGACTTGCGTGTGGTTGTCTATAGTTACATATATATATATATACATACTTCAGATTTTGATTGGATTGATATATTCCAGTTGAAAATAGATTGACTTATATTAAGTTAATGTAAAAATAAGCTTCGTGTGAACAACGTTGCATTCGGAGTATAAATATATTTGTTGTTGCGTTTTATGGATTGTGTGCTATAAAATAAGAATTTAGACACATGTGTTATATTAAATTTATTACACAACATCACACACACACACACACACACACGCCCACGCTTGACACACAAACTGCAAAAACTGAATATTTGCCGAAAATGTACCAACATATTTTTACCCCACAATACAACCCAAAAAAGGAGAGAGAACGAGTTCTCTGTTTCTCTGTGAACGTGAGAGAGTCACATTATACCAGACACAATAATCCATTAACGAGCTAGATTATCGAGACAAGACACAAAACTCTATGATTAAAATTAGCTGAGTGTAATCGTAGTGAATCGCACGTATGTACGTATAAGGATGACACGCAAATATGTACGTAACACAAAGGCTGTAAGTATTTATTGTAATCCCTTTTTCGCGTCTGGGAAACAGAGTGCGCGCGGAGATGAAGCCGCGATGAAGACAAAGAAAAAAGAAAAAAAAAACAAAACTAACCCACACACAGACGAGACTCTCGAAGAGAACGCGAGAATACACGGAGTAAAAAGATACATATAAAAAAAAGTTTATATGTAAACAACATATCATATGAAACACCGTAGGCTTAATGTAGCAAAAAAGAGCATAGTGTGCTTTAATAATTAAGAAACTATATTTCACTTTGCACATGTAATCGCTATATTTGTTTTCTTCATCAGTTTCATTAGAAATGTAATATGGATCTTTTTCATGCTTTTTTGTTCACCGTTTTTTCTCGGTTGACGATACGTACTTTTTTAAATCGACAAAATTTAAATACTGCGCGCGCGCATCGGAAGAATATATTTAAAAAAAAAGAAAAAAAAAACATCTAAAAACTCGTTTATAAAAGATTCTATAAATATTTCGTACGTGAAGATCATTATTTGTTACGAATATTCGACGAAACAATAATAAAAAGCAAACTATTGAAAAAAAAAAAAAAAAAATCGAATATATACAGGAAGACATTGCTTATATATATACATATATATATATATACAGGAAACAACATTTCTTCTGAAATATTCTTCACGCATTGAAATAACACGATGAATTTTAACGAAGCATTGCAATTAGACGCATATTTGCGAGTACTTGATGAAAAAATGAAAGTTTTGTGTTCGTCGATAACAAAAACATTTTATCGCAATAAAATAAATGTTCTGTGAACACACAAGATCGCATTTAAATAACGCAATACTGATTGTTGTTGTGTGTTTTTTTTTGTTTTGTTTTTTCTTTCATGCGGATTTTTTCTTTTAAGAGCTCTGCTTTATTATATCTTATACATAAATGCTATACACGCGTACGTATAATGCTTGTGCGTGTGTGTGCGTGCGCGTGTGTACGTACGTATGTGTGCGCGCGTATGAGTCGTGTACACATGCGTACGGACAATGGCACCAGGCAGACTGTTTATAAAAGAAGAAACGAGCGGATATATGTTTACGTTTTCGCGGAGAGAGACTCTTGCGATCTCTCTGAACAACGTACGGTGTGTCAAAACGGGGCTCGCGCAAAACGACACGTCGGTGATTAAAACCAAAAAGCGAAAGCCGTAAACGTTTGCCGTAACAATAACGGCAAATTGATGTGATTTTCACGCGTCAGTATATTGACTAACGTAGAGGAGATATAATAATTTATCTCCGATATTGTGTGTGAATTGTATCAATTTGCCGTTATCGTTATCGCGAACAACGTTACATTTATACTACATCGAAGAAACGAACACGTGTGTGTATATATTTTCAATAACTATTTCGTTTTATACTGCACGCGCGGGAGACATCGTGCGCGCGTGTGAAGGTGAGAACGCCGATTGTTTTTTTAAGTGATTTAAGTATATGAGATGACTGAGGAAAAAACGAAATTGTATGAGATCGTGATCACGATAACACGTGTAGTAGTGAAACGTTCGTTTCGTCTGTACCGACTGTGCGATGTCGCATGGCGTTCCCAATTGCGAAATCTATCTCGCAAGGGTCTGTTGAAGAAGCTGCGTTTTTTATTAAATCACTTGAACCTTCGTACAATCGTGAAGTGCTTCAATCAGGGAATATTATCCAACGATCCGGACGTTATCCGCGTAACTTACGATGAAATCGTTCGGCGCGGTTTACACAGCACGGTCTACGTCGAGGCTGTAATCAAAAGATACAAGAAGTTGTGTGGTAAGTACGAGAAACAAAATTTAATTTTTAAATTTGTAAGTACGTATGAATTTTTATTTGCCCGACATTGTCTCTTAAGTGTATTTGTTGATAAAGCAAACATTTCAATAATTTAAAAGCTCGAAAATTTACAACCACAGGTATTAAAAAGGTCGATACGAGTCGATGTACACGCAATTATACAGGGTGTCCGGAAAATCATTCGAAGTTCATTTCAGAAAGTGATCGGGCATCCGAAAAGAAGGAAAAAAAAAGACCTATATTATTTATAATAAATAATATAGGTCCGAAAACAAGTCGTTTTCGAGTTGTAGCCTCTTTTATTTTTTTAATTTTTCAATTCTTAGTTTTTGTTTCTTAAGTTTTTTTCAAGTTTTTGATATTTGTAGATACAATTACATTATCTTTAAAATCAAGGATAAACAGGTGTTTAAAATCGAATTAAATATGATGTTTAAAATGTGATCACCTTCAGCACGAATGCAGGTTCTCATTCTTCTATCAAAATAGTCCGAAGTGAAGTTATTTATGTTAAAATACAATATAAGATAAATTATGATTATGAAAAAAATTACGATTTTTAAACATAAAAGTGGCTATATTTATTGTTTGCGACTTATTTGCGAACTTATATTTATATAGCTTCTTGTTTTCTTCTTTTTGGATCTCCAATCATTTCCCAAAGTATCGCTGGCGATTTTTTCCGAACACTCTGTATATATTTGTTAACTTCCCTCAAACCCAATGTATCTTCCTGTTTCTCATGGAATGTAAAAATTTCATTATACAAAAAAAACATTTGGACGGGAGTCAAGTCCGGATGTTTTCCTCGCGAAATTTGACGCGCGACTGCTATTTTACATATGCAAACCAATTCTATGTATGTAAATTTTTAAATTTCCATACGTATGTTAATTTATACGTTACGCAAAGTTAATATGTATAAATATATATAAATGCACGTACACACATCAGAGGCTCGACCTTAATAACTCAGTTAGTAAGAAAGTGTATTTCGCAAATATATATATATATATATATATATATATTTCTCACTCTTATTTATAAAAATTCGCGTGACAAGTCTGAGAACAGAAATTTATCGAGTGCGTGGCAAAAGGGAGAGCGAACAAGTGAAGCTTGTGAGAGAGATAAATTTTCAAATCTACTTCGCAATAAATTTTTTCTTAACACAAAAAAACCAAGTGTTGACGCATACACGCGCGTCCACACAAGAACTTCTGTGGCACGTGCAGATAGGACGCGTCGTGGGGGGAGTCTCGCGCAACCAATCGACATTCCGCTTTTCAGGTAGAAACACGGACTTCCGTCGTGTGCGATATAAAGAGGTTTTTTTTTTTTTTTCACGATCGGATCGCGCGTTTTTTTCAGAGACACGTGCCAAAGCCATTATTATTTAAAAGTGCCCAGCAAACAATTTGGTTGTCAAAGATGTCGCGATTTTTTGTCGCCAACCGCCACATCGAATCCGATATTCATCTACTGTATCCTCAGTAGGATATGGGGTTTTGATGTCTGTTTTTTGTGTCTGTGTGTCAACAGCTTTGGGGCAGCACGCAAAGCGTGTTTCCGTATTGTAGCGTTTCTGCACACAGAGTTTCTTTGTTGCCAGATCTGCGCAGTCACACACAGAAATTGTTTGCTGGGTGAGTGACTATACGTACAACACTTTGCGTGATAGATACGCTACTGCAGTGTGCTCGTGTTTCATTTTTCTCAATTTTTATCGCCACTATTCCGACGTATCATTATTTCGAAAAGCGATAATATAAATCCGAACAAATCATACGATTTGCAAATGTGCGCGAAATCGATCGACGAGCAGCGAGAGGAGTATAAACTAAAACCCTCTCTCTCTCTCCCTCTCTCTCTCTCTCTCTCTCTCTCGAACAGAGTTTGCTCCATGCAATGCGGAAGACACACTTTTCTCTGAAATAAATAAAATTGAATTTTACAACACAGATTCTTTCTCGTCTTGTTGCTTCAAGAAAATATCGTTCGATACAAAGGGTGGGACAAAAAATACAAACAACAATTTGGGACGAACAAACAACGCGCAATTCGCAAATTTAAATCGCACTTACTTAGATAAATTATATTCGCGTTGAAATTCGCGTCGAAATTGTGGCTCCGACAAAACCGGAGCAATTCGCACATTGCGCAATACACACTGCGCAGTAAACAGTCAAGGACGCATCATAGGGCTGGCTTCATCCCTAGTAAGCCTGGCGGTGCGGCGTCGTAGCCAAGGGGCTCCCTTTCATCTCATCCTTTGGACAAAACGTTTCCCTCCCCCGTGATCCGATGCGCGCGAACCGGAGTTTTTCACGTCAACTTCCTCTGTAACTCGCGAATAAAAAAAAAAGTGAATTGATTTTGCACACAAGTGAAGAGACGATCGTTCGAAAACGGTAAAAAAAAGAAAAAAGAAAAAGAAAGAAAAAACACCGAGTGGACACAAGTGTGTCTAAAAATGACACGTAAAAATGATGTCGATGAGGATTGAGACGTTGAAATCGCGCGACGTCATCACGTACCTGAGTTCGCGAGAAAGCTATATGTTCCGTTTCGAGATTTCGCCACTGGCACGTCGCACACAAAAGAATCTTACCTGCACACTTCTCGTTGAGAGATAAGAAGTCGGGCCTTCTTCTCCAACGAAGAGACAATACGACATCGTTCCGCCCCCCCCCCTCTCTCTCTCTCTCTCTCTCCAGTCATCCCGTATAGTTTTTCTTTCAATCTTTTTTTCACCCCCCGGTCAGTCAGTGGGAAAGCACCATTTTGTGTGGCGCCCTAAACACGTTACTGCACGTTAATACTACTGACTCGGTCCGAGCCACACAAGCGAAGAGGTAAGTGCGTAAAGATTGTTGCGAGAGAGAGTTCAGGTATAGTTTTTTTTTTTTTTTTTTTACCCACAGGCGCGCGTTTCTCTCGAGTGAGTCAATGCGGAGAAATCCGTAAAGCGGCAGCATTTTTTCTCTCGTAATTTTGCAAAGCGGCTATTGCATATATATATATATATGTGTGTGTATATATATATATATATATATACAGAAATTAGTTCGTCGCTTAGCACGCGCGGAGCAACGTGATATCTGTGTGGAAAAATTTACACGCCGAACGTGTACAAGTGAACAAGCAACGTTTCCGTTGGAAGCGACGATATAATCCCTACATCCGTGCGTCCGTGTTAGGATTAGGTTAGGTCGATTATGCGAAAAAAAAACGGCAATGGCGCTGCGGGTTTTCGGCATACACGAGAATAATTAAAATCAATCTGGCGCACAACGCACGACAGTGCTCTCCGCGAAAACGTTCATCGACTATATATATATATATATATATATATATAGTGTAGGAGATTTTTCTTTTTTTATTTATTTTTATTTTCGAAGTGTGTGGGACGCATCATGTCAACAGGACTGGCGTTACTAAATAACCAACAATCGAGTCAGACAAGTACGAAATGGCTTTATTGATTTTCCAAAGATATACACTTGCAATATATTTCTACACCAAAAAGTGTGCGTGCTTATTTCGTTTTTTTCAGAGTGCGAGACCCCGAGCAACAATAATGCATTGAATGCGGTGGAAAATACACCTAACGGAAATACAGTGAAGGTGAGTTTCAAACAAATTTTTGAAACAAAATTCTCTGCGAGCGAGAGAAGCACATGGTGGCCAAACGGTTGTATATTCGATGGGTATCACATTCCGGAGATATATTTCGTTTTTGTTTTGACTTAATGGTAACCAAAATAATGTGGAACCGCGTCGCGGTGGAACGACAACGTCCGGAGATAGCGTCTAATTTCTTGTTTTAACCAAGCAACTTTGTTTTAACTTGCGACGATTGATGTGAATGCTCCAAATATATATTCAAAAAAGGAAATGATGAAACACTTCAGTGTTTTGCTTCAACTGCCGTTCATCATTTCCCTTTTTTTTAACTTCTTGTTTGCTCACTTTTCTTGGATACGTTTCACTTTGCCGTGCAGATATCACTAAAATGTGTGATATAAAAGTACGCATAAATTTGATATTATGTAATCTCACAAAAAGTTTCAACTTACTTCTGATTTTTCTTTTTTTTTTTTTTTTGTATTAATACAGGACGCAAAATTGAAATTTATTGACAAAACTTTTTCAGAATAAATAATTTGCGAATTTTTTTCGGTGAAATAGAAACATTTATTGCAGCTATTACAGCTTAGATGTAATTTGCAGATGGAGCCGGGGACTTTACAAAAACCTATTCTCAAAAGATCATTGGACGGAGACCTAGAAGGTAAGAGTTAAAACAATAAATTAATATTTATATGTATTTTGCGTGATAATATAATTTATATATTATTTTAATATAACCAAAATTGTTATCTTTAATCAGAGACCTTTAGTACAAAAAAACGTAAAAATCCGCAACCGAAAAATGCAGTATGCGCATTAAATGAGTTGAAAAATGGAGCTATATACAAGGTCGTGGAGCAGACCGGACCTACACACGCGCCGATTTTTACCATGGCTGTACAAGTTGATGGGCAAACATACGAAGGAAAAGGAAAAACCAAGAAGGCGGCTAAGCAAGCCGCTGCCGAAATTGCGTTGAGAAACATCGTTCAATTTCGAACTCCCGAAGTTCATCAAGCTATCAATACTTGCCAGCCTGTTGTGCCTCTTGAACCAGATTTCACGAGCGACGTGACGGAACGTGATAATCATCTTGTCAATGCGTTTAAACCATTAGCGCAGCAACCAAAGAATCCTAATACATTTTTAGATAAAGGCCCAGTAGCATTGATTAACGAACTCTATCCGGGTATTACGTATAACTGCATATCTGACAACGGGGAAAGTTATGCGAAGTTCACGGTTTCGGTAACTATTGAAGGAGAGACATTCGAGGGGACTGGTTCTAGTAAGAAACAGGCCAAAGCGGCAGCAAGTAAAGCTGCTTTAGCTAAATTAAGAAATGTCCATAGTTCCTCATTCTGTATACCACTTCGCATATTTAATAATGCTGCAAATTGGCAAGAAATGACTCTGCCGCAGATATTAGCTGACAAAATTGGCAAAATGGTTAACACGAAATTCGGAGAACTTATTCAGAACAAGCCGCAGCACGCACGGCGTAAAGTTTTAGCTGGTATTGTACAAACAAAAGGAACAGATGCTCTACTAATATGTATTGCTACTGGTAAGACATACATATATATATATATATATGTTTATTTTATAAATATATATTTCATTGATTATTTTAACTAACAATTTTAGTATATAGATTTTATAAAACACAAGAATATCTGTTAAGTAGTTTTTGTTTTGTAACAATTGAAAAGGTACAAAATGTATATCTGGCGAGCATCTGAGCGTCAGTGGCGGTGCCGTGAACGATTGTCACGCAGAAGTTGTGGCACGGCGATGCCTCTGTGAGTATCTGTACAATCAACTGGAACTTCACATTGAAGACAAGAACGCGGAGTCCATTCTCGAATCCACCAAAAAGGGATTCAAACTGAAGGAAGGCATACAATTTCATCTATACATCAATACCGCTCCCTGCGGAGACGCGAGAATCTTTTCGCCTCACGAAGAAAACGACGCTATCGACAAACATCCCAACAGACGAGCTAGAGGTCAGTTACGCACGAAGATTGAATCCGGCGAGGGGACTATTCCCGTTAAGAGTCACGAGAGCCAAGGGATTCAAACTTGGGATGGTGTACTAATGGTACGTTTTCTAAGTGCGTTTTACAAAAGTTAGATATACGTGTGTTGTTGCAATTATGTTGTGTTTTTTTTTGCAAAACTCTGCGACTCTCTCTCTCTCTCTTCTCTCTCTCTCTGTATCAACTGTAGTTTTTTTTTTTATTTGATTTTTAGGGGCAAAGACTGTTGACGATGTCGTGTTCGGACAAAATAGCTCGATGGAACGTACTTGGCGTACAAGGTGCGCTCCTAAGCCACTTCATCGAGCCAATTTACTTCCACAGCATTGTCCTCGGCAGTCTGTTAAACCCGAGCCATATGTACAGAGCGGTATGCGGTCGTATTGAAAATCATATTCAGGGTTTGCCGCCGCCGTATAAACTTAACAAACCCTGTATGAGTCTCGTCACGTCGAATGAAGTGAGACAACCTGGAAAAGCACCTAATTACAGCGTAAACTGGACAATTGGTTCGTGCATAATCCTATATATATATATATACGTTTCGTTACGTATGAGATTTACGAACAGAAATGTACAAGCGTAATTAAAAATGTGAACACTCTTTTTATTTATTTTATATTTTTCATTTTTCAGGACAACTCGATGCTGAAGTTATAAACAGCACAACTGGCAAAGATGAATTAGGGAAACCGTCTAGACTATCGAAACAAGCGTTTTTCAGAAGATTTTTCAATCTCCTAAATAACAAGGTTCCAACCATAGATGAAGTCGACGAAAATAAATGTCGTCACTATCTCGAAGCAAAATCTTCAGTAAAAGATTACTCGGTGAGTAATCGTTTTCTTAAATAATAATAAGAATAATATATAAATAAAACAGCAACGCGATTTTTTTTTTAAATACACGCAGAACATACAATATTCTTTACGTATTTTGTCTTCAATTTTTTTTTTTTTTTTTTTTCTAGCTTGCCAAGCAGCAACTAAAGGACGCTTTTATGAGAGCGCATCTTGGAAGCTGGGTAAAAAAACCGATTGAACAAGATATGTTCGAAATAGATATCTGACTAAATTGGAGTGATAATAACATCACAATAAGTAATTCGAAACCTCAAGACATAGATTATGTAGTTCCTAGTGCAAACTAGATCGCTCGTTCGGCGTGTCATAATATGGCAGAATTTGGTATCAGTAAAGCATAAATCGTAGGATTTCGCAATTACATAATTCTTGATTTTGATCTCAGATTTATCGTGTTCAAAGTATATTACGAATTATTAGTGGTTATTAATAGTTACGTTCTATTACAACAGTAGTCGATAGAAAAAAAACAAAAAAACACAAAAAAAAATCACAAAAAAAAAATACCCAGTATCAGAACTTGAAGCTTTATATTGTTTTGACGTATTAATAGCGGAGATAGTTGTTAACGGAAAATCGATTTCAGCACACATATCCATATAGAATTTCATAGAATTAAATATGATCTTGTAAAGCAATTTATTATTACGATAAAATTCTTAATAATTTTGATGCAGCATCCGAAAACGTAAAGGAGACATATATTTATTTGTATAAATTATTTATAATATAATTTTTTTTTTTTTTTTTTTTTTCATTTCTTTGTACATATAATAATTTCGTTGTTTCGTGGAGACATTCTACATAATTTTCACCCTCTTCTTCAGTTTTTTGACACATACTACATAGGCAACTGACTTAATCAAGTCATTTCGTATAGTAGTTTTTAATTAAAGTGTAGCATTAAGAGATGCAACATTTAGTCTTTTATAGACATATACATGTATACACACATATATATGTATATACATTAAAAAAAAAAAAAGTGCATTATACCTAGACATTCCCAGATAACATTCTACATCGAAAATACGCAAATTTTTTTATTAAGATTTATCACAAAGATATATAATCGACTTGTTTAACAAAGATAAGAAATGATATCTCGTTCAGTGTGCAATGTATTTTTATACGCACTTATATGCGCGTGTGAACAACGAACATCACGTATGTTAAAACTACACAAATGAACATATCTTTTGTGTAAGTGGGTATAAAAGGCTATTCGTGTCGAACGAAATTTGTACGAATTTCTGTTTCGCGAGAAACACAACCACTTCCCCTCCCCGGGAGACGTCTTAACTTTATTCGCATTATTCACAAGTCCGCGCAATGCTATCTGGGATTTTTATAAGGTATTAGATATCGTGGCAACGAGTAAAGTTGCAACAACACTTTACATCCTCGACGGCTGTGATTGGATTCAGATCTGAAAAAAAAAAAAAAAAAAAAAAAAAAAATGGATCTTAATCGTAAAAGATACCAATTTTGTTGCAAAGTTCAGCAAAAAAGGAGAGAGATGGGACAGAGTTTTACATCATGATGATTCTGTACGCTCTGTACACATACACACACACACACACACATACAACACACGGTGTTCTCGTTTACCAATTGCACTTGTTGAAATCATATATATATATATATAAATTTATTTATAGAAGCAACGCGAAAGTGAATGCGAAGAACATCTTTGGTCAACTTTCAATTTTAGAAAAAAAACTTTAATTAAAAACTCAAGACACATTGTCCCCCCCCCCCCACACACAATTGGTCCAAATATATCTAAAAACTATATATATTTCATCGTCTTGTGCAACGATTCGAACTTGCGCTTTCTTAAGATTTTTGTGATATATTATTTAGACATATGTGTAAAAAATAAGAGAAAATGTCCTCAACACAAGCAAGTTACGAACGGGATCGCACGTGCTTTAGTATATTTGGTAACGGGTATCGCAGTGATTTTTGTTTTTTTTCTTTTTTGTTTTATTTGTTTTTGTTTTTGTTAACACACAAAAGTCTTCTCGGTGTAGATAATTTAATTTGCAAGAAGATCGAATTTTGTTTTTCCAAGGTATTTGACTAAGAAAGTGTATATTCGAAAAACGGCAAAATGTCAGGAAATGTCGCCACTCGTGCGTAAACTTTTTTTTTTTACAAACACTGACGAAATTTTATCTGATTTTGTAAATTAGAATCTTTTCGTATCGAGTCCCGCGCGCGTAATATACGCGCAACTGTCTGCAACCAGTTCAATGGCTATTATTTTCAGTACGTATATGATATTATAGATGTACAGGAAGTATAAAACTAGAAGAGAGTAGACGATGTATAAAAAAGAAAAAACAAAAAAATTACGATACTACACACTATGTGAATTATATAGTTCTTCAGATATAAAAATACGTTATAAGTAATATAGAGTATATTAATTAGAGGTAGAAAGAGAGAATCCTAAGGTCATTGCCTCACTGTGCCAGTATTATGATTAATACAATTCTGCCGTAGTGACACACTGCCCGGTGCTGGTCCAGTTTTGCATAAAGAACTTTATTTGATTTTATTTTTAAATATACTACGTTTATATATACAACACCGAAAAAACCAAAAAAACCTTTGTTGTTTTTTTTAGAGAATCGCATATATATATATACACAATAGATTAATTATTAACTCGCAAATTTAAGTAATGATTTTTTCCTCGATATACGTTTTAAGAAAATCTTGTATTAGAGAGAGAAACAAAAGACCTTAATATTAAGTGTGTATGTTTTGCATTAAGTATATGTAATAGTATAAAATTTTATTTTACGGTGGTGTTTGAGAGATGTGTGAGAGAGAAACATTTTTATGTTCAAAAATTTATATATATACGTCAAGAGTTGTTGTATCAAGTTGTAAAGCGCCAACACACAACATTTTTTTTTTTTTGAGGATGAGCTCTAACGCCAGTTTCTTATTTTTCTTGTAGCATAAAACTTAAATATTGTATTTCTCAATCATTATTATAATTGAATCGTATTTATTAGGTAGATTGTGGCTACGGCGGAGTAAAGAGTGTTCGCTCGCTATGTTAAATATGTGATAATAGTCGTATATTTGTGCCAAGCGAATGGCTCAACGAAGTATGTTGCTTTATCTTCGCCTACGTTTATATAGCCATAGAGAGAGTTGTTTCATCTAACGAATCAAGATGCAATTTAGGTTTTTCGGATAAACAGAGCGGCAACGAGAAAAAAACAAAAAAAAACAAAAAAAAAAGAAAATTTATCTGCGTATCACACATCGCACGTCAGAGAGAGAGCACGTCATTTAATCGAAAGTGTCATCGTTTTGTTCATAGAAAAGTTGTTTCGAGATTTATTGCGTTGTGTGTGTGTATATATATATACATATATATATATATATATATATA